CAGGAACGCACATATCAGTTCGCAAGTTTAGTACCAGGCCTGAGGGCATCAGTATCAGTGTTTTGGGGAATCGGTTATATCTGTGGGTATCAGACTCAGTTTTTTGGGACAGTGATTTTGCAGAATGGTGATCAGTAGTAGAGTACAGTTATTCAGCTATACTTGTGTCTATTCTGATTGGGCCGAAATACTGCGTGTTTTCTCTTTCAGTTTAGACATTTAGTACAGAGTAGCCAGTGTTCTCCATTGCTGAGGCAAGACAGATAACTGATCCGTCAGTCACCGTTCAATTCAGCGGACTTATGATGACGCAGAATTCAGAGGAAATTGTGGTTATGGCAGCCGCGTTAGACCAAGGGATCATTTGCAGGATAAGACCAATGTTGATGTACTGCATCCGCCCAGGTCGCCTGCTGCGCGCCCAATCTGGGAACCCCAGATGTTTCAAGTTCGTGAGCCCACTACGTTTGAGTTAATGGGAATGATCGGCGATCTCCAGAGATCCGTGGCCGATCTGGCCTATAGGATGTCGGCTTCACCACCAGCTGCACCGTATGTCAGGAATTTCATACCACAGGAGCCCCCGCTGCTGGGGCAGATTGTGATTGAGCTCAGCCAACCAGAGGTTGCCTCCAGCTACAGCAACGACGTGTCAGCAATAACCGGGCTTCACTCTGATGTAGTAACCCAAACCCCCGATCAGGCTGAGGCTAGAGGTAAGAACAAAGTGGGAACAGATACTGATCCCGTCGAGCAACTACTGTGGGCAGCCGAGACTTTGAAAGCCGGGGGGATGAATAAGCAACAAGTATTCGCAATCATGACTAAAGCTGTGGATGATGCTTTCCCCATTTCAACCGAAGGCAGTTCAAGCTAGATGAAAAATCGGGATGGGCCTCGTCATGCCAAGACAGTTCCTGTCATTCCTAACCCTGTACCAAGAAAAGATCAGAAAGCCAAAGCAGTGCCTGCCGACCCTTTCGCTAGTGCGTCTAGCAAGAACCCTTAGACTTCAAAGTACTTGCCTCGGGGGCGCAGAGTCTTTCATGCCCTCTACATGCCTTTGTCTAGGGCATTTCAAATTTTGGCTAAAAAGGGGCATCTTAAACCCCTCGAACCCCGACCTCTCCCAAAGAATCTCCCTCTTACACATGATGCTACCTTGTACTGCGCATACCACCAACAGTCTGGTCACAGTACCGATGGTTGTTTCCGCCTTCGTCATGAAGTGCAAGATTTGATAGACAATGAGGTCATCCTCCCGCCTACCTCAACAAAGTCTGTTACCACTGAGCTATTGGACTTTGAAGATACTGCAAGTATGTGATTAGGGGTTGGACCACCTGCGGGCGGCGCTCGGCGCATTCTGGATTTGGCGTCTGGCACGCACTTTTGAGCATCTGCGAATGCCAATTTTTGTGGTTTCTGACTTAGGTGTGGAGTCAGTTCGGTGGTCTTGTTTTGAGTCTGTCTCTTTGTTTTGAGTCAGTCTTTTTGCTTAAAGGTCTGTCTTGCCGCGTCGAGTCAGTCCCATTGTATAGAATGTCGGGTGATTTCGGGGTTGTTGCCTTAAACACCCTTTTGTTTGTAATTATCCCTTTGCTTTCTTTTGTGTCCGTCTCTGCTGTGGAGTCAGTTGCAACTAGGGAATCTGAATGAAACAGCTGCGGCTATCATGTTTCCGTGCTTACTGCTATTTTGAGCTAGTTGTGCCAGAGGATTTGAATGGAGTAGCAGTACATTCCACCTGCTCTCTTGTGCCCTGAAAATCATTGCATTGACCTAAGCTTTTCAAAACCTTTTTGAACACCGCAGTGAAAACAAAGGGGAAGGAATTCCCCGGGACTTGCAAAACTTTGATCAAATTGAGAGAAAGAGAGGCGTGCTAAGCCCTTAATGATTGAAATCACGCTTGTCAACGTGAGTACTGAGAAGGACCCTGGCTTGATCCAAAATGGTTCCACACCATCTTCAGCGCGAGCGATCTATTGCTTCTTTAAAAACTTTCAAAAAATAAAATATTTTACGCAGTCCTACGAAGACCTGTGTGGAATCGCTCTCGAGATTGTGCAGCTTAGGATCGCTCTCAGCCTCAAGACTTGAGCCCTTGCTTTAAAACCTTGAACCACAATTCGGAGTGTTCAATGATCGACCATCAAGGGAGGCCTGTGTAGCCAGATTGGAAGCAGCCCTCGAACAAGAGGCACCAAAGTCAGATCAAGAAGATCAGATCTCATCAGAAGAAGCTTGTGAAGCTAGAACAAAAGCACCCCTCCAACTAGGGGCAAAAATGTCCGATGTGCTCGAAGAGCCGAATAGGGGTCCTTCAGCAAATCGATACAACAGCCACTCCTGGACACGGATGGCTTCGAAACCCTAAAACCATTTGGCATGGACTTGTTACACTTTTACCCTTTGAGAGGCTCGCTGGGCCGAAAACCCGGAAGGGCGACCCAGGCAAAAGTTAGAGCAAGAGAAAAAATACAAAAAAAAAGACCAAAAACAATAAAAAAAGAGAACAAAAAAAAAAAAAAAAAAGAGGAAAAATACAAAAGAAGAGAAAAAGAAAAGAAAACACAAAACCAGATGTGAAAAGTGAAAGAAGAATAAAGCTCGCAAGGTCGAAAACCCGCAACGGGCGCCTTGGCAAAAGTTAGAGCCTAAAAAGGAGAGGTTAATACCCGAGTGTACCTTAACCGGAACTACGTAAGGCTTGATTCCCATGTTTGGGATACGTAGGCAGCTTCGTCCTGAAGTCCAGCCCCACGCACTTTCAAAGTGACTGTGTCCATATATTGGCTTTGACCATCTTCGTCCTCTCTCTATCCGAGAGTTCAGTCGCGATCATCACTAATGAGGACTGTTTACAAAATACTGCGGCATTATCCAGACAAGGGGCAACTTTCCGTTGCCATGAGTCGCCGTTCAAACCAGGGGTAACTTTCCATTGTCGTGCAGCGTCCTTCAAACAAGGGGCAATTTTTCATTGCCGTCGATCCGAGGTTGCACATTTCGAAAGTAAGTTCCGCGCTCGTTGAGCATTGGCCGTTTGCAAAAATAGTTTTTGAGAATTTTTACTGAAGTTGATTAATTTTCTCGAAAATTGTTCTATTTTTCCAAAACTGGACCATTTTTTGAACCCAAAAAGGGAAAATTTTCAGTGCTCACAGCCCAACTCGCGTGATTTTAAATCAAAAAATTAAACAAGAATGCTAATCTGACTCTCATTTTGGTTAAAATTGTTTTAGTAGAAAGCAAAAACAAAAAATGGTCAAAATGATGAACTAGGGGAACAGCGGAGTCAGGCTTCCTGTCCTTCCCCCATCGCCAACATACTTCCCAAGAAGGGCACAACTGAAGCTGTCATTTAAGGGCTGAAAGCTCTCTCAACCTCCGAGCAACGAGGTATCAAACCAAGTGCGAAGCACGAATCCGAAAGGATCAAGGTACTCCGTTCCCTTACCTGGGGCATCGACCAAACGCCACCAGAAGCAACAACCGTGAGCTAACCATGTCGGGCGTGAACCCACAACTTTCAATTCATCCATTGAACACCCCAGGGAGGGATAAAAATGAGAGAATAAAGAATAGAGAGGTGTAAGTTGAGAGAAAAAGTGAACAAAAAGGGTTTTGAGAGAAAAACTAAGCCTGAGGGCCGAGTGATGTAAGAATCACAAATAAGAAAAGGTGGGAAACGATACCCGGAGAAACTGGCTCCTCGTGATCTGAGGTCCCCCGTCATCGTTGACGCGTCTGTATGTCGCGTCTTTTGTTTTGTCTACCTCAACTCTTGTTTTGAGTCTGTTTCGAGCGTGTCTCGTTATGTTTAGGTAGTCTACCTTTCTACTTTCGCTATTGAGTCTTTTTCACGGTGTTCAGTTGTAGGCTCAATACCCCGGTTTGAGAAACCCTTCTTCAATTTCAAAAATTAATCGTTTTGTGCTCAGAATGCTGTGCCATTCTCCACATTTGTGCACAAACATGTTTTGGTTCTTTCATACAACTGCCGGGTCCACCCTCGATAAGTGTGAACAGAAAAAAACCTGGGCCTCTCTAAAGCTTTTGGGTTTCGAACCGCATCTGAGTGTGCTTCAACTTTAGCAGATTCAACCTTCATGGTTCGTCTTGTCAGATTTGGGCTGTTTGTTCAGGATCCGCTGTATGCAAAATGAACCAAGCTCTATGTTATAGGCTGTATGCAGATTAATCCCCAGTAGAGTATGGGCCGAGTGTTCAGAATGAGTAATGGTTTGTTTGAGTTGTTTTGCTGATTGGCCGGTTCGTTACCTGATTATTGCAATACGTGTGTTTAATTTTTCAGACAAAAGGTCAATCTCATTTACATTAAGGTGTAATATGATGCGATGCAATGTATGAAATGTACAAATATAACACTTTTTCAGATAAAAAAGGTTTCCTTCATTTCATCATCTTTTCAAGTACAAAATTTTGGAAAAAAACAAAAACCTGCCTATGGCAGTACAAGGTACTCTAACTACCAGCAAAAAGTACAAAAGAAAGAGAAAAGAAAAAATGGCAAAAATCTGGATCAAGTGGTCTCAGGCCTAGGGGTCCGTCCTCGTCCTCTTCCTGGACGAAGGTCCAGGAGCATCGTCATCGGCACCGTCATCTGAGTCTGTGCCATCTCCGGTCTCCTCCTCGGACGACTCTACCTCCGCCTCTACCTCAACCTTGGACTCATCATCATCACCAGGGACGGGTGCCCGTGAGCTACTCCCAACATGGGTACGCCCCGCCTTGGTGCGGGGGTATACTCTGCCATCTCCTCCGGCAGGAACAGAAGGTCCAGCTGGAGCACCTCTCACGGTAGGGATCTGGAAGGGAGGCTGAAAAGCACAAAAGGCAAACGCATTAGTATACTGTGAGCAGTGTATCAGTGCAGAATGCAGTGTCCGAATACAGTATGTGAATACTGTGAGTAGTGTATCAGTGCAGAATGCAGTGTCCAAATACAGTGTGTGAATACTATGAGCAGTGTATTAATATGCTACAGAATGCAGTGTATGAATGCAGTGTGTGAATACTGCGAGCAGTGTGTCAGTGTAGAATGCAGTGTACAAGTACAGCGTATAAATGCCGTAGATAGTGCTGTGAACAGTCTGTGGACCACAGTATGTCAGATGCCGTGAGGGTAGTGTATCCAGTGTCGTGTTGTGCATCAGATATGTGAAACAGTTTATGTATGGCTTGAGACCGCGGTCAGAGAAACATACCGGAATGCTGTAAATCGCCAGAAGGTCGAGGCTCTGCTGGAGCATCCCCATTACGGAGGCGGTCAACTCTAGGGACTGGCGAGTGTACTCATAAGAGGCTTGCAAAAGCGTTAGAAGTATCAGTATTCTGCGGAATATCAAGCGAATTGAAATGAAATGACTATGCAAAATGCAAAATGCAGTAGTACATACCGGAGGCAAGCCATAAAACCCGACTAACTCATGATCAGCCGGAGGGGGAGCAATGGAAATCTGGTAAGTCGTCCCGCCCCGTCCTCTGCATGTCATCATCGTGGGTAGTGCTGGCCAACTAACCCCCCGACCCCTCCGAGCTCCGCTCCTGCCACAGACTCGAGCTGTCCTCGACGTCCCTGCCCCTGCTCCCGCTCCAACTACCGGCGCCGTAGGCCTCTCCCTCTCAGCTCGACGGCCACCGTTCAAAGGCTGCATAATGTACGTCCGAACGTACTCTGCATAGTCGCCCTCGCCTTTAAAACCCTTCGCGTCCCAGCTAATCGTGTAATCGGCCATCTCCTCAGCAGTGCACCTCTCGATGTCCCTCATGTGGGTAGGAGGTGGACCCGAAACTATCTGCTCTAGCAAACCCAGGGTCTGGCGTAGGAAGCGCTCACCCAGGTACCAAGCCCGACAGACCGGACCCTCCAGCAAAATCCTAAAACGTGCAGTCCCCTCTGCACCAGCAAATCGATCTCGAATCATCATAGGCAATGGAGCCCAAGGCTGCCAAGTGATCTGTAAATGACATGCAGTTTGTTATCTACTGATATGGAAAATACAGTGCAAAGCGAAGCTTAAATGAACTACAAGTTCTAAACATACCTCTGCGGGGGTGATGGTGTCGAAGTAGCGGCGGAAAAAGATAAACGTCTCCCGGGGCCTCCGCACGCACCTCACGTCAAAGCGGCGCGAGAACGGAACGACAAGAGGGTTCTCCACGTCTGGCACTGGGGCGAGTCTCGGAAAGTAGGCGTAGACCCACAACTGCAGAGCAAATACCAGTGGGATTATCAGATAAAGTAGAATATAGAATAAAGCAGAAATTACAGAACCGTGTATTATGCAGTGTATTGTGCAGAGTGTACAGCGTGTACAGTGTACATTCAGTGTGAAGCAGACCGCAGTGTGTGCAGTGTACAGAGTACAGAAAATGAAAGGCAGAAATGTGAAACAGAGGAAGAGGTGTACCTCTCAAGCTCGCCAGTAACCCCCGAGTAACTGCCCGCTGCAACAGGAGGCTGAGCTCATGTATCCATATAGAGTGGCTAGAGCAGCGCCACTCCAGTCGAAGCGCAGAATCCGTGTAACGTCCACCAGTGCGCTCAACAAACAGAGGGGCACGATGTTCACCTGATCGGCGAAGATAGTCATCCCCAGCAGAAACATAAGGAAGCCGCATGCATATTGCTCCACCGCCTCCTGGGTCATCGGAGCCTCCTCAACTAAGGCTGGCTGAACTCTGAACTGGACCTCGAATCATGAATACCTGACAAAGCCAGGACGCACGAGAGGGGGCACCTCGCTAAGCAAGTAGATCTGAGCGGCCTCCCACTCGTCCATGTCTGTATCGAAAGGGATCGGATCACCCCCTACCCCGATGTCGGTGAGCATCGAGAAATCATAGGGAGTCATTGTCATGTCTCCCGTGACAGAAAAGTGGAAAGAGTCGGTGGTGCCCCACCACATCTCCACTAGAGCAGCAAGGAGAGGCCTGCTCGCAGTAAGCCAAGAGAGTCCCCTGCAGAATATGCCAAAGCCGGCCTGATCCACGATGTGGCGAACTGCATCAAGTAGCTCCATGTATCAATCCCTGGCGGCAACATTTCCATACCCGCGGACAGTATGGGAATCTCCCTGTTCAAAAGCAAATAGTTGCGAAGCAATATTCAATGTACAGTTTTGACGAACAGTCAAAAATTGATGCAAATATAGTGTGTGTGCACGTTTTCAGATTCAAACAGATATCGGGTGTCGGTGTACTCGAAGTGAATTACGGCATATGACATGTCAGTGTTTCCAAGTGGTCCAGTACAGATACAGCGTGAGTACGCGTTTTCAGGTTCAAGCAAACATCGGGTGCCGGTGTGCTTATAGTGAACTACAACATGCGATGTGCCAGTGTGTTTGGGTGGTTCAGTGACAATGCAACGTGTGTGCACGTGTTCAGATTCAAACAGACATCAAGTGCAAGTGTGTTCACAGTCAACTACAACATATAGTGTATCGATGTATCCGGGTTAAGCAGTTAAAGAACAAAATCAACTATGGCAGTTAAGTGTTCTACATTACGGAAAATGAAACGGGGAAGAATATACCTCGGAAGCGCCGTACGATAGGTGTGACTCTGGCTTGCGCAGAAGGAGCTATGATGGCACACCTCTCACAAAACTCCGGAACTGACAAAGTCCGTCGGGAGGAAGCACGTGAACCGTCGGCCTGTAGGTCGCCGGGTTGAACGAGCGGACACTCAAGGGAAGGAGCTCGGCCTCTGGGTCCACCTCGTGATCCGGGGGAGTCCCGCCCCGTGGAATATCATCTGCCATGTCAAAGGTGGTGTGACAAGGACCGAAAAAGTGGAAACCGGATGAGAATGCGAAAGGTCAACTAAAAAAGGTCAACCCCGAGAGGGCGGAAAATGACCGGAAAAGGCGGGAAATGAAAGAGGCAAGGAAATCAAGAGAAACTCGAGGGGAACAAACCCTAAAAGGTGGAAATAGCAAAAGAAACACCGAAACGAAGAAATGTTCGGTTCAAAATGTTCGAAACGCGAAGAACTTCGCGAATCGAACGATGAAACGGGCGCGAAACGCAAAAAATGGAGGATCGAGGGGGAGAAAATACTCTAGAGAGAGGGGGGAAAGAATTTCGGCCAAGGAGAATGAAAAGAATAGGGTTTGAAACCCTATTTTAAAAGACCCAAGGCGAAAGGACAAAATTGCCCCGATTCAGCAACATTTGTCCGATCGGCTATATCTTTGGCCGGTCGGCCAAATATTTGGCCGGTGAGATGTTTTGATGACCGGTGGATGGCCGGTGACCTCCCCTGATAGCCGGTGATCCTCCAACAACCTTGTTTGGGTCAGATGTATAGTTTGGTGGTATTTATTGCTCAAGATAGTGCAAGAAATGGCATTTCCGAAGCTCAACCGGCCTCCGTTTTGACCTCGGACCGTGTCTTCTGTACGTGGCACTCAAATATGTGCAAGGTGTATCCTTTTTGTATCCTTTTGTGTCTTTTAAGATTCGAAGGTTGCCCCACACGCGTTGTTTTGCGAACACGTGTTGAGTTATACGTCTTTATGCTTGCATTGTTATGCATTTTCGCCACGGTCTGGCGAGACCTTAAATACGCTCGGTCTAGGAGACCTTAAATCCTCTGAAGGTGCAAGTCCGTCGGTGTTTGTCGTGCCTGAACGACTTTTGGTAAGTTGCATGGTACATGTATTTCAAGCGACTCGCGTCGTCACATATTCAAGTTCACATGCATTATCATGCATTTCAAACGACGTGCGTCGTCGCGCATTCGAGTTCATAAGCATTTCGAGCGACACGCGTGGTCGCACATTCAAGATCATATGCATTCTCATGCATATCACAAAACGTGCGTTGTCACGCGTTTACATCAGCATGCATCAACATGCATCATTTGCATTTCAAACAAAACAAAAACAAAAAACAAAAAACAAAAAAAACAACATGCATATGTCATGCATTTCATTGTAATATATTGCATATGTCATGCATTCCACTATATCCATTCCATTGCATATTGTAAATGTTGCATTGTAGCTTGCATGCATTCATTACATCACATTTATCTAGGGTTTGCGCCTTTCCTTGTTGAGCATGGTCTGGTATGTGCCCATACTTTTCACGTCTATACACTCATAGTTCTGTATGACCGTTCTATGTTAGACGTGGTTTGTTTGTGTCCATACCTTTCCTAGGCAAGATATGGTCTGGCTGTAGGCCTTAATCCACTATATCCATTCCATTGCATATTGTAGATGTTGCATTGTAGCTTGCATGCATTCATTGCATCATCTCCATCTAGGGTTTCCGCATTTCCTTGTTGAACTTGGTCTGGTATGTGCCCATACTTTTCACGTCTATACACTCATAGTTCTGTATGACCGTTCTATGTTAGACGTGGTTTGTTTGTGTCCATGCCTTTCCTAGGCAAGATTTGGTTTGGCCCGCGCACCATACCTATTGTACATATTACATTGTAGTGTAATTTTTGCATCCTGCATTAGGATCATGTTCTTTCGTTAGCGGATCATTCCCCACTTATGTCATTCCACCCAATTATACTTGTTCTTGCGTCCGTCTACATCACTCATAGTTCTGCATGTGTACGCGCTTTGAGGGTTGCGGCACCTTTTCCATGGTAGACGAACTTGTTACCTCCATCAATCTATTTGACATTCATGTGGTTTTGAACCACTCATGATTCAATTGCATTACATTTTCTTTTGCATTATTGTACATAGTTTTGTATATATTGCATATCATTTTGCATTCATTTTGCATGTTATACATGTTGCTAATGATATCATACCTGTTAAGTTTTCTTTCTCTTTCAGGCACGATATTGTATGTACGGTTCATTTGAGGCTGGTGCAACCAGACGAGCCGGATAGGTATTGTACTCTCCGCGTGAGATGTATCGAGAATTACATAATTCTCTTACATCCTTTCTGCATTATAGTGTAGTTGGATTTGCGTTTGCTTGCTTAAAACTGTCGCATGTTATGCTTTGATACAGCTTTTTTGGATGATCATAAGTTATGCTCGGCTTCGTGCATTGTCGGTTGCATTTTGCCCCTGCCTTCGGGCGCATATCTTGTCTGTCTTGCATGTCTGTCTAAGTCTTCGGCCTTGTCAAAAATGGGTCGTCTCTGGGCTTTGACAGTCACTCCCGTCATTGTTATGACTTTCGAGTTCTATCAAAGAGGGGCAACTGTAGACATCCCATTTTTCACCGTCCTCAAGACTTGGACGTCACTGCTTGAGCACCCGGTGATCATCCTTGTTTGCGTTTGTCTTGAATTCCTGGAGGTCTCAGCTACGCGCCTTGCCTTAGGATCTCTCAACTCGACTGTTTTGTGTCTGGTTTTGCACCAAACACTTGTGGTTTGCCTTGGAGGGGCATGGAATGGCTTGTGGGCCATCCCCACACATCACCGGCCATGGCTTGAGGCCACCGGCTGTGTTTTGTTTTCACCGACCAAATGTTTGGCCGGCCGGCACTATAGATGGTCGACTGGCCATCTTTTTTGGCCAAGTTGCATTTTTGGCTGGCCGACCACTGTTCATCTGCTTTTGCAGATATTTTCATGCCAGCTGTGATAGCTGGCATACACTTTGCTCCATGGAGGGATCTCCCTGTTGTTAGCTTGCCTTGGAAGCTTTACAAGATTGAATCCTCTATAAGAGGAGGCCTCTTCTCCCTCTTTTAGGTTAGACAACTCATTTTCAGAGCTTTGAGTTCTAGGGTTAGGGTTTGCATCTATCCTATCTCTATATCTCTCTCTCTTTGTGTTTTTGTGTGTGTTTTGTCTTACTTTTGTGCACAAACACCCACCATCACACCTTCTCTTGGAACTGAGGCACAAGAGGGCTGTTCGTGGTGTTCGTGAGTGGTTTTGAGCTCAAGGAAGCAGCTGGTCCACCATTTGTGAAGAGGGTCTTCAAGGGTAACATTCTTGCTCTTTTTACCCCATTTTTGCATAGCTTTTTTGACTGCCTTGCAACTGTTTTTAGACTTGGTGTATCACATATAAAAGTCTTGTTTTTTTCCTACTCTAAATAGTTGTTTAAGAGTACTTTGAGCTTTGAGGCTGTTTGACCCCTCTTAAGCCTTGTTAGGCTCTATTTTTGTGCCATTTTGGTGAGCTCCGGGACCATTGTGTTTGGGCCTCCTCACCACTGAAATCTTGAGGGATTTCAGTGGTGAGGATGGTGCCTTGAG